TGGCTGTCAAACTGTTTTCTTTTGTGTTTTTTTGTAGATTCAAATAAATAAAACGGAACACAATGTGTGTTTTTGGAACAGGCTGCTGGTAACAAAGTCCCCAAATATACAATTTAAAGTTGACCATGATGAGTAGACAAAACACAGGTTTATTCTTTTAGTTAGGTGGCTATTTAAAGCCTGAATGATTCATAGGCCAGCATTGTATGCCTTAACAGGGTGAAGGACTGGACTGAAAATGAGTAAAATGTTCAAAGAAAAACTTTGAAAGAGTTTCAGAAAACCTGTCTTTGAATTAAAAATCACAAAGACAGAATATGCTGGGCTTCAAAATCTGTTTTTATGTAGCAGCTGTTTGTAGTTCTGTTAAAAATGCAGTGAAAGTATCCATTTTAAAAAAAAAATCCTCTCATTTTTAGTGGGTTTTTTTTTTTTCTTGGTATATGAACAGCCTTTGCACACCGTTCTCTTTCCCCCTCCTCTGAACTCTACAGCCTGGCGCATTGAAGCTGAGCGTCTTTTGTATAAAGAAGGGTTTGAAAGCCATATACATAAAAGCTTCTTTTTTTCCTGCAACTTTGACTCAGCAAAGTTTAGAGGCCTGAGGCGGACTCACGGTTAATGTAAGCCAAACTCGTTAAAAGTCTAATTAGCTAGTCATAGTGCCTTGCTACGGGTGTATGTAGCTAGCAGGTTGAGTCGTGTGTTGTAAAGGCTCAGTTAAGTTCTTTAGAGGAGGTTATGTTGTGGAAAGCTGTTTTGCCTTCAGACCTGCCTTTAAATAATAGTTTAACTGGTACAAATGAGTCCAAAGTGTGCCGAGAAAATATCTCCCACATCTTTACATCACCTCCACCTGAGGGTATTGTCTCCATCTTGCCTTGATGGGTTTTTTTTATGCCAAATTCTGACTGTACCATCTGAATTCACAACATAAATTCCGGGCAATATTTTATTGTACACCTTTGGTGAGCCCATGTAAATTGTAGCCTCAGTCTCTCATTTTTAGCTGGATGTGACGCTGTGTGGTCTTCTGCAAGGTTCAGTGTGTTGTGAATTCAAAGATCCTCATGTTTGTTCTTAAAAGTGTTTATTTGTTTGCCTTTCTTACATCAGAAGTTTCAGAAATTCTCAGATTGGCCTGTCTGGCAGTAAACTATGGTTGTTGCTTGAATGCTACTGTGTGACTGGCTGAGTAGATATTTGTGGGGAGCAGCAGTTGAGTGGGTCTAAGTATTAAAGTGGCTGGAGAAAAGTTTTACAGAGCTGGCTTTAGTTCTGTTCAAAACTATGAAAAATAGTGCATTTATTCAATTATTTTAAAACTTAACCATCAAATTTCAAAAGCTGGAGAGTTTCATGGCAGTAACGGCTAGTTAAAATTCCTGTTCTCTTCATTTGTAGTGTCTCTACATCACTATAACCTTGTGTTTGTTCCAGTTTACAAAAAATAATTGTTAAAATTGTTCTTGGTTAGGAAGTCCAACATGGCTGGAATTTCATGCACAAGGGCAACAAAGAGAAAGTTGTCTGCTAGTGCTAAGGCTGCAGAACCCGTGTCCAGGTCCTCCAAAGTCACCTTTCTGAGCCCGTCTCTCCTCCTCTTTGAAATCCCTGCTGACGCCGACACCAGCCTCCCAGTGTGGAAGGCCATGAGAGCCCAGCAAGCTGACATCACCTGGACCGTCAAGCCCTATGGCCTCAGCATTAATATAACACCTCTGACCTCTAAGAAAGGAAAGCATTCTGCTCCCAGCAAGAGTGAAAGCTCTTCCAGCATGGTGCAGACTGCAGGGCTGTCTTCCAGCACCCTGCAACCTCAGATCTGCATTCAGCCCACCACTCAGCAGCATGTTGCATCGCAGAGCAGCTCCTGTGTGCTCCTTACCTTCCCCCAAAACACACAGTCTGTGTCACACCCCCCAAGTCCTATTCCAGTCACTTCACTTATTGTCTCCTTGCCGGTCATTATCGCCCAGGCCCAGCATACCAGTCAGCCTACTGCTCCTGCCAACAAAGGGTCCATATCCTCCACCCAAACGCCAACTGGAACCCCTACCAAGCAAACCACCAAAACCCCATCTAAAGTGCCTGTCTCATTTCACACAAAAGGCTGCTCTACCATCCAAATCTGTGACGACTTCCTCCTTGGTTTGTGTTCTGCAGGGGAGAAGTGTAAGATGCACCACACTCCCTATCCCTTTCACTGGCAGCTGTGGTGTGTTGCCAACCGCCAGTGGGTGGACATTTCTCCTCCCTCTCAGGTCTTGCTGGAGAGGATGTACTGTGACGTCAATAAGGATGCCATTTGTCTCAAAAATGGGTGAGTAACAGGGTAGATCTTTTGCTAAAGTCTGCAAATTAAAAAAAAGAAAAAGATGGGCTTTTTTGAGACAAAAATCACAAACGTTTGTGGATTCTTTTTGTGACTTCAGAACACTTTCTTTAGGAATGCACGCTACACTTTGAAATTTGACTCAATGGAACTGGACAACTCTTCCATGTATGATGGAGTCAGGCGACTATCTAACACTAACAGTAACATCAAGAACCCTCATTTTGCCAGCCAATCAAAAATCTACTGGTGGAGCATCAGTTGGCAAGAGTACAACACGGTGATCTTCTTTACCTCTTTTTTCTAGTTTCTTTACTCCTTTCTGTCATTTTCAACACATCAAAAGCCCCCACCAGTTTTGTTATTTTTTAACTGGTTCATTTCTCCATAGAGCGTGTCTGCTACATTGCTAAAAAAGATGAACGAGAAAGAGTCCGAGTGTTTCTTCAGTGTCGGCTCACAGAAGTACAAGGTGGACTTCACTACCATGACCCAGACCAACGTTGCCACAGGGTTCCAGAGAGGCGTTCGCTGCAGACCCGCCTACCGCTCTCTGGATTCTATGAAACCTTACTTGCAGTTGGTGTCCTGAGATGTGGTTTTTTTTTTTTAGCATTTTTTTACATTTTCTTTTAAAATCATGAGATTCTGTTCCTTTAAAATGATTTCATGATGTTCTCCCATCCCTTTCCCATTTACTCCCCACACCCAGGACAGGAGTCCTACCTGACTCAGCGGAACCCGACAGTAATCCTCCTGTGGCCAACTTTAGTGTAGATCCTCTGGACGAGTTCAGTTCCTGGTACCCTCCGGCGTGGTGTTGGGCTTCAGAGCAGGATTACAGTCTAGTGGATGTTCCTACAGGCACTCTGGCCTATAAACGGGTTCAAGAATTCTTCAATGAGAGCATGCCTGAGACAAAGGTGGACATCATCAGCATCCAGCAGGTCCAGAACCTATTCCACTGGGACAAGTACCAAAGGTCCGGCTAAGTTTGAGTTCAATTTTTAATCATGACTAATACTAAGAAATATTGGAGGGAAATTTGATGTCCTTATTAACTATGTGGATATTCGGAAAGTCCTTTTTCTAAACTTCATTTATTGGATGAAATACATTTGCAACATGGATAAGCATCGGTTCGGCTAGAAGTAGGATCTGGGCTCGTTTCCTCCTGTTTCCATCCATTGTTTACTTTACTAGACAGTTCTATGGGTTCCTTACAGCGGATTCAAATAATTATTTTGTTGGAAGTTAAAGCGTAAAATATCACAAAATCTTGTTCTTGTTCATGGTGATATGCATGCCACACTTACACAACTCGTTACAGGCAAAAGCTATACATGCAGAAGCAGCGTGGAAAGGCCACCGGGAGTTTAGAGCGACATCTCTTCCATGGGACCACCAAAGAGGCCTCAGAGGAGATCTGCACCAGCAACTTTGACCCTCGAGTGGCCGGGGTTAACGGAGTTTCCCACGGTCATGGCACATACTTTGCCACCGCTGCCTCCCACTCCCACATGTTCTCAGCCCAGTTTGGGCCAGATGAAGTTTGCCACATGTTCCTTGCCAAAGTCCTGGTGGGAAAGGTAACAGTGGGTAGGAGCCACTACCGCCGTCCACCTAAGCTCACCTACAGGAAGAAGCAGCATCGTCTGTATGACGCCTGTGTTGACAACGTGAACCTTCCCACCATGTTTGTTGTTTTTGATAGCTGTCAGTGCTACCCATACTACCTAATCAAATATAAAAACCTACCCAAAGAGATAAACATTTAATGAGGATGAGGACAGGGGCCTCAGACGCTAATTGTTCAACAAAAATCATGTTCCAGTTGCAAGAAAACCTAAAGTGTTAACGAATCCAGTATATATTGTTATCAAATGCTCCGTTTAGTTTGATAAAATATGCCATATTCAGTTTGTTTGCAATGAAGTTCTTGACAATAGTGAAGACAGTGTTAAAATGACAACATATTCTGTATCACTTAATTTTTCAAAATGCCTTTATTTTTGTTATTTGAAGATTTTACAATAAACACTTTTTTCCTTTTTTTTCCCTCAAATCTGTTCAATGAAATTCATTTCTGTAATGTTTATGAAATTAAACACTAAATGCATTCACCTCAGTATAAGAAAACAAAAACATGTTTGATCAACTGCTGGTATATTTTCATACAGCCAAATGAGCTGACTGTTTTTTCCAAAGGTCAGACTGGAACGTGTTTCATGAAAGACATCTTTAGTAAAAGTATATACAGAATATTTTTCTTCAGAACTGAATTGCACACTTCCTTGAACAGGAAACAACAGGAAAATTCTAATAATTTAGCTTACGCATGAAAAATCATGGCTCTTTGAAGGATCCAGATCAAATTGTTTTAAAAGTATCTGACGCTGCTGGCCATAAAAGAAATTTCCCAGTTCAGTCCATCTAAGAACAAACTCTGCATTGAACAGATAACACGTTCCTGACAGTTAATAATGAACCAAAACACCACATTAAATCCCTGCTAATGAAAATAATAACCCCCCTTATCAAATTTGTTTAAAAAGGGAGAAAAATAAAGAGTTGAAGTGATGTTTAACTTCCAAATAGTATTGTAAAATTCCATATCTTGAAATGTCATTGAATAATTTAAGACTGTAAGAACGGCTCAAATAAGATGGTGTTATCTTTTATTTCATACTGTATAAAGTCTGTATTTCATTTTTCTTAAAATGTGCAATTCTCCGTTCATGTTTTTAATGATAATCCAACTCGCCAAGACAAAATTACAGTCACAAGATTAAAAAAAAAATATTCACAAAACCCCCACCTTTCACACAAGGATGTTAGAGTGATAACCACAATGAAAAAATATCAGAATTAGCTATTGATAAAAGGCAGATTAAAACATATGTTATATGATTTAAGATGTAAACAAGGATTTAAAAAAGTTAAACTAGTGTTGAGGCTGTGATGCCAGTTCCTTATAAATGGAGGTTGAAATAAAGTACAGCAACTGTGCGTTTCTGATTGCCTTATTAGCTGACAACATCTAAAGTTGGGCCTGCAGGTGGTGCCAGAGGAAAGGCCATCATGTTACATAGTTCAAAATGGTTTACAGTATGAATTGTAGATGATAGCTATTTTTTAAGCTAAAAAAAAAAACTTAGTGGAATGAAAATATAAAAGGCAACAAAAATATGTGAAGAATAAACATTTCACATATCTTCAAACAGGTTCATAAATATCAGATCAGTTCTTTTTGCACTTGGTGTCTAATAAGAGCATCTGTCTCCAGCACAGATTATTCATTTGCATTTCCCTTTTAGTCTCTACACACGTGTACATATACACATAAACTGTACACAGGTTAGCAGACGTTTAACCAACCCTGATACAAACGACATGTGGGTGGGGGGGACACGCAAAAACTGAGTTCCTGGAATTTACCGGCAGAGCACCAGCACCTATTCACAGGCCAGCTTGCTGTCGAAGCTCGACAGGCCAATGGCAAACGCCTGAAGAGCGCACATGGGATAGTTGTAGTCCAGAGTGAAGACGTCTTCAGCAACTCTACCAAACTGCATAACAATGTAGTCAGCTAGAGATAGAGGGGGGTAAAAATAAAAAAGGTCGATCAATGTGTTTATGGTGTATGTTTGAAATATTTCAAGACATTCTGCAACATCCTCTTAGCAGCCAAATTATTTAAACTACTTAAACATAACTGAAGAAAGCACAATGCTACAGTTAACAGATGCTGTTCTCAGAGATTAAAGATACTCACGGTCATTATCGTGAACTATCTGGAAGTTTTTGACTGATGCCTGAGTCACACGGCCATGGAAATTTAGCACATAAGACTGGGTGTCATCGTTCCACACGGGTGCCTTGTTGTGCAGCTCGATCAGATTTTCAAGCGAATGGTTTTGCCACCTGCTCAGGAGACTCTCCTGCTCCTATCATACAAACACATCCGATTTCAGTCTTTAATCTTATTAGGAATGAATCAAACTACACATTAAACTCACACAACAGGACTTTTGGACTTTTGCATTCTAACAGCATTTGTGAAATGTCAGACTGCTAAAGCTAAACAGCTTTGGATTCAAATGAATCTTTAAGTCATTTTATACATGAAGCATTCGGACAACAGTTGCACATTTAAGGGCAGATTCTTTGAGTTGTTAAGCTTTGCATAATTCTGTTACTGACAGACTCACATTTTGGGGCCTTACAGGGAGCCTCTCAAAGTTCATGTTCATGCCAGGGATGATTACAGTCATTTTGCGTGGTCCTTTGAATCCCAGCACATTGGTTTCCTGCCAAAAAACACAGAGAGTGTGACAATTTTACTAAATATATTTAATGAACAGGCAACACACTAAACACACTGCTAGCCTTTTGTCATTCACTCACATAGCAGATGGCAGCCAGTTCCTGTCGTGTGTTGCTTTCTTCCAGCAGAGCCCCGGGGTTTTTACACGGATTGGTCCCGTTGTCGTACACTGTGAATTTTGTGCCCATGAGGTTGGATCTGATAGAAAACAAACCGGTCATGAAATGTTTACACCTTTTCATATTTTTCAGATGCTGGCAGCATTTTGTTTCACATTTGAGTCATGTGGATTGGCAGAGAGCAACACACTCTGTTCATTTTCTAAATATCAAGCAAACAGCAACTATTGGATGCTGCAGTTTATTCTAACTGTTAGCAAGCAGAAAATCTTTGGAATCAAATTGAATGTTATATTGAAAAAAAGAGGCAAAAGTGAGAGGCTACAATGTAATCCCACAGGTCAACTGTCCGGACCAAAGTGAATGTCGTTGTCTTTGCCACTGATGGGCTCAGACTGTCAAGCCCAACTGTCAACATTATGAAAAGGATCCCTACAGAGATGTGTATCTCACATCAAGAAGAAGTCTCGCTCTGAAATCTCACCGGAGGTGAGGTGTTGCTGGAAGAAAAAAGTGTGAATGTGAGTGAGAGTTGGAGGAAGCCAGGCACGGAAGAGAAGAGAAGCTTCCTGTTCAGTAGTGCACGGTTTGTGATTGAATTTATGAAATCTGGTCTGCTACACTTTACTTTATTTTTGCCAGGCACACACTGGTGACCAGTTGAGCTACAAATGGATGGACAGATGAAATGTTTTCACTGCCTATTTTGACTGGAATCAATATTACCAATCAAATAGAAAAATAAATCACTTATAAGAGCTGCCGGATACAGAATGCAGGTAATGCTATTAATTAAAGGTATTTTGTTCACATGGTATCAGTTGACATTAAAAAAATAAATATAATTAAAGGTGTGCAATCAGCAAATAATACCTTATTAATGCAGGTCTCTGTGGACACAGGGAAGGTGAATTTACCTGAGTTTACCTATAAAGCTCTCTCCCTCTCGTGACAGGTCGGTAGCATCCACTGAAATAAGGTAGTTGGATGTCTTACTCTTCTTCCTCTTTCTTCCTGCCAGCAGAAACACCTGGAACGACACAAAAAAGCAGACACATGTATCTAATGAAGGCTTTTGTTTATAAATGTTACATATTACAACAAAAATGATGATTCTTATTCACAACTTTAATGGCCCACGCATGTATCGCACCTTCTTGCAATCCTCTTTCTCCATGTGCATGTAGTAAGTGGGGTAGAGGCCGCGGTCCATACCCTTCTTGTCACGGGTGATTCGGCATTTGACTGTGACGCCACGTGGAGCTGGGCGTAAGACAAACTCCTCCAGATTCGCCACATCGGCTAGTAAGTTTTCCGCTGTGGGTGATCCTGGGGTAACCAGATCCTGGGACAAATTAATATAGTCAGCTACTTTTTCTAAAAAAATTTAAAAAAAAAGCATTTTAGATAATAGTGAGTATATGAACTAGTGTGCGTAGGCTTTACAGGAATGTCCTTGCCACTAGTAGCTGAGGCAGGCCTGTTGCTGTCTGTGTGAGAGGACCGAGAACGCGTCCGTTCTTCCTCCAAGTCTTCCTCGTGCTCACTGGCTTCATCAAAGTTCATGCTTTCGCAGAGACCTGGTGAGAGACGTGGGAGTGTGGTGTGAGGGAGCTTTAATTACACACGAAGGTCTTTACAAATTCTCCAGCTGAGAAACCCATTCACACAAAAACAAAAGAGGAATATGAAACCTAGATGCTCTGCGTACATCCTCCACAACAAAAGAACCTCAGTCATTATTTTGTTCCAGGGGTTCCTTCAGTTTTGGTTCAAAACGCTCCACAGAAGATTTTACCAGTTTTTTGGGTTCATCTGCGGTCTTTGACATATGAGAAAAAATTCCCCAAGAAGTGATGCAATACTTAGGAAATAGTTGAAGCAAAAAATAGAGCATTATACAGCTGAAAGCACATCCTTTCATATTTATCTGAAATATTCAGGGGGAGGGGGATTTCTTCTACATCAGCTGTTGAAACCATGACAAAAGAAATGAAAGGATGAAGACTTGTGAAAGTGAATATCAAAAAGAATGTGATTATTTAGCATTGATTCTTATTTATTTAACCAAAAGGCCACTTCTCTGGCCTAAAGAGTACTTTCCCATGTCAGTTACTGGAAGGATCATATTTATGACAATAAATGAAGCTGATGTGCAGCTACTTGTGCAGAGACAGCTCCATGCAGTCATGCAGACATAAAATGGGGCTTGCACAGTGCAGACAGTCGGGACTGTCTATCCGTCTCCTCGCTGATAATTGGATTTATCAGCCAGGATGCAGCTCTTGGCTGCCGCTATATCCCACTGTAATGTGTTATCAAAGTGTAAACTTGTATGAAAGCTGTGTGTTTTCACTACATTGAAGTATTATTTTTTTATTAAAATATAATTAAAATTTGACTTGTAAAAGAAATGCTTGACCAGAAATGGCAATAATGATACCAAGATTGCTCTAAATTGTTACACTATACAGCTGGAGTCCTAAATACTGCAATCCAATCTACAGTTTGAAGTAAATGAAGAACTTTAGATTTTAAATCACAGCAATCAAACTGACTACTGTGAGGATATACTGCTGCAGGAAAATGTGGGTGAACAAGTGTGGTTCTGACCGACAAACCAAGGAATGCTGCTCATAGGTAGAGATCTGTCGAACACAAGTAGGCTTGCTTAAAATTGTACCCTGCTTTATCCTCATTTTTTTGCATCTTAGCTGTTCCTTCATTCACAAAATGAACATCGTGTTATATTCAGTGAGACTTGGCGATTCAGACCATAAACCCATCAGTGAAGTGTTTACTAATGCAACAGATGGAGGCGAGTTTTCTCAATCAGACTTCAGGGAGTGACCAGATGAGTTCCTCCCTGCTGCCAATTAAAAGGAATGCAGAACCTTATTAAACAAATCCAATTTCACGTTAAGAATATCCCTGCTTTTAAATACATGGGGTTTTCTTTTCACACAGCCTTTCTTCTTTTGCATACAAAAAGCATTCTGTCCTCAAATATTTGTGCCTCCTCCTGACACTGATCAGTTAGATTAACATATCCTGGACAAGTTCCAACGTGAGTTGGAGTACTAAACCAGTACTAAACCAGATGGATAATGTGACAGTAAAAACAGCAAAACACAACCCCTATTGTGCAGTATTTACAAGTGATGCGCCCCAAATATGCTGCTAATCCTGTGAAAAAGCAGGAAGCATCATGGAATACAGAATGCAAATGTTAGCTGCCCTCTAACGGTGACTCCAGGGCTCCAATTAAAAAACCCACACAAAGTTGTGTGAGCTACTGGCTTATGAAATCAACCATCTGGAAATGTCAAAGAGGACTAACATTCGACTGAGCAGATCCAAAAAAGACATACAGCATTTCCAGATAATTATTATCACATGGCCAAGAAGGATATTAAATTCTACAGCGAGCCAAAAGTGAAGATGTTGGATGACATCAAGGAGCTGATTAAATATGAATGTACTTCAAAATGTCTATTTCTTCCATTTCCCAAGGCACCGTGGTAATATGGAAGACAGGCAGCCAAAAATACCTGCTGGAGCTCTTTGGGTCAGGCTCGTCTGCTTAACTGAGCTAACATTAACAATGAGGTCTTACATTATTGAGAAGCACAATGACACTTTCTACTGCGTCACACTCAAGCCCTTAAAAAAGGTAAGAAAAGTAACCCAGCTTCTGAGTTTCTCAGCAGGGTTCAAATGAAATCTTAAAAAAACAGTCATGTCTTAAGTTTGTGGGCACAAAGTGGAAACACACGAGCTACATTATGACACCTGCAGAACTGCATGATGTTGTTACTGTTTAAACGCATGCTAACCTTCATATAATGAGAAATTTGTTTTTGCTGCAGATGAATCTGAAAAGTGCAAAAGTCACTGTGAGCTTGATTTTTATACATTTTCCTGAAATTGTACATATTCCCGTCAGCTGGTTGGCAGGTGTGGGTGGTAGTAGTTCTAATGATGCCACAAACAAGCACTGCAGTGTGAACAATGCCCTTACCTATTATTTAGTGAACCAGTTCTCACTGCATTACCATCAATCATACCACTCACTCTATATGCAGCAGCAGAGTGCTATCAATTTGGTAGATGTCAAAAAGTCTGACTTTGTTTAACAGTAACTTCTTACCTGCAATGTCATAAATACACATTTTTTTCTTTATAGGTAAAAACTGTAAAGCTGAGAAACGTAAGAAAAACCCTGAGAGTAACCCCAAGTAAATATCTGATGCTACTCTCGTCTAATAAAAAAAAAAATCACCAGGGGACTCAACACACACACTATCAAAGTAAATAAGTAAGCAGGCAAACAATAATTGTTCCATTTGACTTTACTGCAGGGTTTAGAAAAATGATTTAAACCCAGGCTCCAGTACAAATCACCTTGCTTCTGCAGCAGTTCGTGGATATCTGTCTTGGGCTCCAGTAGCGTCTCAGTGTCTCCGTCTCTCTCAGGCTCTTCAGCAGCAGGGGACTGGGACTGAGACTGAGACTCAGGCTGGGACTGAGACTGGGACTGGCTCACTGACAGGATTTGAATTTTCATTCCTATATCAGGAGGTTCTGCGCTCAGGAAGGCTGCTGGGCCATCAATACCTACAACACAGGAGACAGTGGCAGACAGGCATGAGCTGTTAATTTTCCCTTAACTGGGTCCAACAAAGCATATCTAATGAATCTACTAAGTGAATCTATTATACACATTTCCAAATCCATATTTTTATTCTTGGATTCCAGCGTAGGTTTACGTGATTTGCACTTTAGACTAATCCTTCTTTTTCTCATACTGGGCCTTGTTGCAAACAACTTAATCCTGTGAGTGGATATTAGTGAATGTGGTTTTTCTACTGTTAGATGTATATTGTGACTGTCACAATATACATCTAACAGTAGAAAAAACATAAAAATGGTCTAAATCATGCCATTTAACAAAGAAAACATTTAAATGCATAGCAAGACCTCTTCTATTCATATAACTGCAATTAGTTTGAAGTTGGTACAGAAGCAACAAAAGGCTGGAAAAGTAAGTGGCACTATAAATAACATGTGGAGGTCAACATGTCAGTAACATGACATAGTATAAAAGAGCATCTTAGAGAAGCAGCTTGTCAAAAGTAAAAATGGGAAGAGGTACACCATGTTCTTTAAAATATAATGTAAAATTGTAAAGGCCCCAAATATCTCCTCTCATAATCAGATTTAGAGAATCCAGGGAAATATCTGTGCACAAGAAACAAGGCAGAAAATCAATACTAGATTGCCTAGAACACTAGAAAATCCTGGAAAATGAAATTTATTGAGATTTGAGATTTATTGTGACAATATTGATTTTAATAATATCACCTTCCATATGAAAACAAAACATCTCTTGGAGTACCTGAAAGTTTAAATAAACGCTACAAAGACAGACACCTGTCTAACATGTAACAAAGTTTTAATCAAGGCAAAGCCTCAATCTTGAGGGAAGGTCAATTATTGCAGTGTTGTTTCATCACAGTATCACGCTTTAGTTTGTGAAGCTTTTACAGCATACCTTTGGGAGACAGGGAGATGCTGAACATCTGGTTAGTGGTGCTCAAGACAGGTGTAAAGACTACTCACAGACAAGAATGATGGATAATCTGAGCCTGTCAGTGGCTAAACAAGGCTGAGGAGGTTGAAACTTAAGAAACACCTTCTAATATATATTAAAAAAAATTATAGTGCTTGAGCACAAATAAGATATTAATTAAATAAAATATTCATCCAAATACATATCTCTCAATGAGGCCCATACCAGCTTAAAAATAAGCCCCTTTGCCTTGATGCAAAAAACTGATCCATGGGATTGATGGTAACCACTTTTAGTACTCTCCCTTAATACTGCACCTAATATTGATATGAACTAAAAAAATAGGGGGAAAAAAACCCTTGATTGAAGTGTGGTTTGGTAGTTTAACCGTGCTGCTCTATGATGTGTCTAGCCTAAATTAAAAACAGTCAAATGCTGAAAATTTTATACTTCCAACTGAAGTTACTTTTATGTAAAGAGGAAACAGTGTGTGACCATGCCTAGACTATGGGGATTTGATTAACATGCCTTTATGTATGACGTAAAAAATGCTGCACATGTTTTTTCTCACCATCTATTATGACATCATTGGCGACATTGAGTTGAGATTCGACTAGCGGGGCTTGCTCTTCACCACGCCGTGCCCTGGAACGCCGGGGGCGAACCTCCGTGTTGGGCTGGACCATCAAATGTTGCTGACGTTTTTGCCGCTGCTTCTGCTCCAGCAGTGCCCTCTGTGGACCAAACAGGGGAACAGAAATGCTGTGTAACCTAATTCTAGGTACAAATATACGTGACTTTCAGGACATGCAACTGGAAAACTCACTTCATACATAATTAGCTGGCATGTATTAAATGATGGAGGTTGGGAAGATTAAGCCAAGCTGGAAAACATCAACACAACAAGCTATGGGTAATTACATTAGTATGGATGATGAGTTACAACCTGTGTCTCTCAGTAGGTGCTGCAAATGACCATGACAATAACAGAAAAAGAAAAGAAAAGAAAGGAGCACTGGTCGTTGCACTGCATAATGCTATTCTAATACTACAGGTCAGAAAAATTGGATTTCTACATGTGAGATTTTGTGCCATAAAAAAGTATTGGACAAACAAAGGCTTTGATTTTCTAAAGGCTTATCTGGGAACCGTGGTTACCTGTACCAAAATGCACAGAGGTCCATCCAAGAACTCATTAAAGTATTTTAGTTATTTTTACTTTATCTTTGAAGAAAATATTCCAGTGGAGAGATAAAGCCATACAAGGTCAGCTTAGTGAGTCACACCATAATACACTACGCAGTCTTCAAAAGAAAGATAGCTACACACAGTCCAGACCTGTAAGGCAGCAGAACACATTTTGCTGAGCTACTAATCAGAATAGGACATTTGACATGCAATAACAGATAAAGCAATTGTGCAAACCATTTCAAGGTATAGAAAGCTGTATGCACTACAAAAACTATATGTAATGCAGTACACAACTCAGTTTCAGTAAGGGTAGAAAACTGACTACGTTCATGTTGTATTCACTCGCCCTAAAACCCACTGTGACCTGACTTAATACTGACACCAAAAGGCAGACTAAATTAAAAAAAAGCCCATAATAAAACACAACAACCAAAATAAAAAAAATAAAATAATGGGGGCTGTGAAAGCTTACAGTAAAGTTCTGTAGTTTGGTGAACTGAAGAATGCCCAATGTAAGAACATAACAAGGGTCTGATAAAGTCATTAGCTGCTTCGAACATCATCACTGAGATGAGGTTTCTTTTGACTGATTACTCAGAACACGTGTAACCTCTAGGTAGTGAGATTAGTCCACAATCATTTGCACTGTAGTTTCAGTAAGGATAGAAAACTGACTATGTTTATGTTGTATCCACTTGCCCTAAAACCCACTGTGGCCAGAGCAGGCGGTGGATTATGCAAGCACATTAATTAGCGCACCAAATGCACAACAACAATTCCTGTTTAGTGTTCAGTCAGCTGGGAGAGACGGAGAAGCCTTGTCTCAAATTTGGCAGACCAAAAAGCTTTTTAGACTTCAGTCATTCTAACACTCGAGGAAATCAGTTTCACTAGCCGTCGTTGCAAGTTATATTAGACAAAGTGGATCAATGTAACTTTTTTTTTTTTTTAAAAAGAGAAAATCGAATCTTCTTATCCTACAGTGAACATGAAAAACATCCAAAAAGCAAACTATAAGAAAGAATTGGTACTGGAAGCATTTGTTTTTTTTAACTATTTAGCATATGAAAAAGCCAAGAGCTGGACCCAGTCGTTACCATTTCAAAGAAAGAGCAGATCTGTGTTCTCCCTTTATTGCTATAAATAAAATGAGACAAAATGAATAACACATAATGCAACATTATCATAATGAACATAATTAGGTCTAGTGTAATGAATGAAAGTGGAAATGCTACCAGATTTCACATTGCACAATAATTCCTCTTCATTAAGATACTGACTACTGATTTGAGGCAAACCACAGCTTTAACTTCAAAAGTTGCTACACATGTACTCCCAGCCTAAGATTAGTCTGAGCAGTTTGTTTTGTCTTCCATCGAGCTATTTTAAGCCAACCCATTGTAATATTCAATTCTTTTGTATAGTGTGAGTACTTGGCATTTTTAACACAGGATGTGACTTCATTCAGGTTTTCACAATCCTTCCTATGTGACCCAAAACACCGGAAAGAGCCGAGCAAAGAACATGGGTTAAAAGACACTGATTTAGATATAATGTACATTTATATTTACATGATGAAAAGACGCCATGCAAACCCTCTACTGAAAAGAGAAGTTGAAGTACTGTTAGGGAGAGATAACTAGATTTTTTTTCTCTCACTGGCAGTACTGATTAAAAAACTTTGAGTCTACGTAAGCAACAGCCTCACACCTGCGTCTCACAAACAAGTCCTGATCCAAAAGACAAATAAACTAGAAAATGCATCAGAAAAAGAAAAAGAAGAAGTTACAAACCCGTTCCATTGATATTAAAAGTTAACAGGTTTTCTAAAGAATAAAGAAGATTCCACTTCTCTTTAAGTCAGATGAAGATGTGTTCTCCCCATAAAAGAAGCACTCCTGGTGGGCATGACTCTGTCTCCATGTCCTTTATTCCTCTTCTGGAGTTCAGTTTAAGAGTCAGTAAACTGTCAACCTGTTCCACTGCACTATGTGCTCCTCTAACACAAGCCAAATACCAAGCTTGTGTGTGTCTGTACGCGGGTGTGTGTATGTGTGTCTGTATGTACAGGCAGTCACCGTTGCTAACTGAATCAGCAATCATTAGCGCTCGAGCAGGAGAGAGATAGGGTGAGTGAGAGAGGACAGAAAGAAAGGAAAGAGAGCGAGACAGAAAAAAAAGAGAGGGGGGGGGGGCTGGGAGGTGTACAGCTTCTTCAGTGCGCTTCACTTTCATCATATAAATATATATAAAATGTAATTATGATTTAATTTTTCAAAGCTTGCATCTGATCTCTTCTGTGTATGTTTGTTTGTTCTTGTGAGTTATCTAAGAGCAGAAGACGAGAGAGAGAGAGAGAGAGAGAGTGAGAGAGAGTGAGAGAGAGAGTGTGTTTGAACTCAGCTGAAAGCGTGCAGCACAAGTCAGCCACAATGAGACCCTGAAACACACACACACACACACACACACACACACACAGCCAGGCGCCTCACAATAAATCCGCCTCTCTCTTTGAAGTCACCAATCTGAGCCCCCTGCCCTTCTCCCCTGTTTTCCTTCTGCCTAATGTGAGATACTGGAGTAAGGCTTCCAGCGTAAAGCGCTACACCACAGCTCTACAGCAAGGTTTCAGAAGATCACTCTGCATGCAGGAACATTAAGTTTTAACTGTCTTACCATGTAACCCATAATGAACACTCCCCCCTCCACCCACCCACCACCATTACCACACACACACACACACACACACAATTTGACTGTCTGCTAATATAAGTCTGTGCATTGGGAGTAAATGCTTGTCGGTCTCTCATTTTAGTTATTGCATACACAAATTAAATGTCAATTGAATACTACATTTAGAAAAACAATTTGCCTCTTCAAAACAATATCTAGTTGTGTTATAGATGTCTATTAAAATCTCTCATTCGAACTGTGCTTTTTTTT